AACTCCTGTAGGCGGTAGTAGCAGTAGCCCAGCAGCGACAGCCCGGCGCGGCTTCTCGGGCTCCGCTGGAGCTCTCCGCTCAGCAGCTGCACGGCCTCGGCGTACCGGGCATCCCGGATGAGCCGGTACACAACCGCGGTGAACTCCCCGTCGGGGATCTGCGCACCTCCCAGGCCCGCCATAACCGCCTCCGAGGTTGCTTACGCTCGTTACCAGGGCAACAAGACAACCGGAAACGGAAGGCTGCGAAGAAGGTTGGTGTTTTTAATGGGCTTTGGGGGAGGGGGGGTGGTTGCTCCTAAAGTACTTTGCAGCGGAACGATCAACCTGAGATTGGAAAGAGTTACTAATGTGTGTATCTCAATTATTGGCCTGGTCCCTGAAGACTCCAGAGTGTGAGCGGCGTTAGACGCGAGAGGAAAGACCTCCTGGCCGTTCGAAGACGGAAACTCTACTTCCCGGCATGCACCGGTTCGCGCCGCCAGCGGCCGTAGCCGCGCTGCATGCTGGGAGGCGTAGTCTCCTCGGGGCGGACCCTGGGGTGAGGGGAGATGAGGTCGTGGTCACCTTCCGTTCTGTGGTAAATGAGGATTGTTGACTGCCTGTTGTGTCTCTGGCGCGGAGGTGGAAGGTTTACGGTTCGACGTCCCTTCCGTTTTTGAGCCTTTAGACACTGTGCAGTGCATATACATGGTGTTGTTTCACGTTGTTTTGGTGAATGAAACGGGAATGGAAAAAGAGGAATGTCAGTTTGGTATTCTCCCCGAGTTACAGTGGACTTTCTGTCTTTGGGTCGTCCCGTGGGCGCACTTTCTAAGAACAAAATAGTGCAGCGATCAGGAGTTCTTACTTTGTCGTTTCAGAGGTTGATAGCAGGAAAGAGTGCTTGGAGTTTATGTGCTACTTAGGTTTGGCTTTAGTTTCAAGCGCCTCCGCTCCTGCTCGCGCTACCCCTCCCGCTCCCCCCGTTTTTCCGTAACTACAAATATTACTAAGTTCATTTTAGCGTTTAAACTTGGCCCTGTGGTCTGCCTTGACTCTCCATATTTCACCACGAAGTGGAAAAACCTTGCAGAAATCTACAACCTCGTGTTTTCCAAGAAGGGTGGAGGCGAGGAGGAAGCACATTTCAAGTTTTCCCTTTTCTGTGCACCGTTAACTCTTTTAACTTTCCAACCTACTTAATCTGTGGCTGGATTTTCTTGTGTTCCTTTCTTATGTATTTGGAATAGATGCCCTAGATTTTGTGTTACTACCTTTAGGTCTATTTGTGTATAAATTCTTTGGAATATAATAGTGCTCAGTATGGGGCTTCCCAAGTGACGCTAATGGTAAAGAACTCAGCTGACAATGCAGGCAACATAAGAGATGCAGGTTCAATCCTTGGGTTAGGGAGATCCCTTGGAGAAGGAAGTGGCAACCCACTCCAGTATTCTTGCCTGGAGAGTCCCATGGACAGAGGAGCCTGGCACACTACAGTCCATAGGATCGCAGTGAGTAGGACAGACTGAAGCGACCGAGCACACACACGTGTATCACATAAGGGCCCAGCTTTGAGGGAATACAGTGTCTTGCTTTCTTAGTTGTTATTTTTTCTATTAAAACAAACAAGCAACTTTAGCTGGTAGAATTTGAACTTTCTTCCCTGAGTTGCAGCTGTGAGCAGATGTTAGTTAAGGAGGTGATGAGTGGGAGGTGGTGAATTTCCTAATCATCTGTTATAGCTAAGAAGAGACTTCAGTAGGACATCTGAATGATATGCTATCAAGAAATTGACTTCATATTCTCATCCATTCCTCTCCCTTGCTGCAAAGTTTGCCAGAGTTGTGTTCTGCTGAAGCATGAAACTGGACACGGAACTGTCCACTGCGTGAATACCAAGTAAAAGACACACTGCACTCCTTCCAGTGGGTTTGAGTGGGCCACCCAGGATGCCCAGAGAAAGCAGCTGAGAAAGACTTTCTTTGGTCATAACTCAGTAACCTGACTCCGAGGCTTCTTCCAACCCAATCTCTGCTGAAATCCTTTCCAGTCTTCAGCCCAAAGAGGTACATGGTTTGAGGGATGCTGTCTAGTGCTGCTCAGTAGTAAAGGAATAGGGTGCCTTCTCCTTCATGCCTGCTTGATTGATACTTAGCTCTTGGGGAAAAAAATTATCCAAAAGGCTCAGTCTTTTAAAATACTTATGTATGACCTGATACTTTGGGTAAGATGCTATTATAAATCAAGGTTACAAGACAGAACATGGAAATGGGAAATTGTGTTTTGTATCTTTAGTCAATCAGTCTGATTTTCAGGGTTGTATTGCATCATGAAAGCATTCACCTTCAAATGGCCTCTTGGGAATGGAAGCAAAATAGAAGGCCTGTGCTCTCCCCTAGATTTCTCCCATCCCTACAGGCATCAGTTGAGCTCAGTTCCCCCCTTTGTGCTGATACCTGTCTGTGAGCATGGCTGCTGAAGTGGGCAGGAGGGAAGCTGTTCTTCCTCCTTATTTCATGTGCTGCTGCTCCTGAGGCCTGGCTTGAAAAAAGCAGGACATTCGGCTTAGACAGATGGAGGGCAGGGTCATTTTCAAAATGAAATGAGTGCACAAATCACACTGTGAAATTGGCATGACCATGCCTGCTGCTGTGATAGACCGACTTTTATTTAGTCTATGACAGGCAGTTGGGGAATAGATTAGGTTTTGGGGGGGTGGGGGATGGTGAAAGAAGGCCCTTTAATTAATGATAGAAATTCTGGAAAGCAATAAATGGGGTGGGATATTATAAAATGTCATAAAGGATCATTTTGTTTCCAAGACAATCTTGGAAAGCTGGAGCATGTATCAAAAAGTTAGTGTATTGTACCATTTCTAGCAATAAGAAAACATTTGGTGGCTGCAGTAAAAAGATTTAGTGCCTTGTTGAAAGGAATTAGACTTTAGGAAAATGGTGTTGGACTCAGGGTGGATTTTGCTGCATAAAGGGAGGCATATTTACCACACAGAAGAATTTCATTTGAGCACAATGGATAGGAGCTAAAAGTATGATGTCTGGTTCTTAACATGCTTATATTTCTGCCTGTCAAATGTGAGATGACCAAATTCCATATCCTATTTTATGTATAATCTATTTGACATTCTCTTTTAAAACTAGTTGGAAAGTATGTTTTCTTATTTACCCTCTAAATGTAATTACTTCCTTTTGGTAAACATTGGTAATTTATGAACATCTCAACAACCGTAGCTGGGGTCAGACAATTTCTTTCATAAAGGAAGACTTTCTGCCAAACCATTTTCCAGTTGTTATGTCTGGTCCCTCTCATCTCAAGCCATTTTCTTCAGGATGTAGCCAGCCCCCTTATTTGTTTAGTCCCCTTACGTCTTCCTTCCCACCCCCCGAAATCTTCCACCACAAAGGGGGCAGAAATAATAAATTTTTGTCAAATTGGTAATATAATAGATTGACTTTTCGGAGCATCTATTCAATCTTTTAAGAGTTTAGGAAAAATTGTGTACCAGATCAACACTTGGGAACATTTATGCTCAGATGGTAAGATATTTCACCTCATGAATTCTCCTTTCACTGGTGGTTCCAGCTTTATTAATATTTTAATTAGATTTCCTTCTTGGATATACCTTTTTTTTTAAAATCAAGTACCTTATATTTGGGGGCTTATGGTGTTATTATCGAAATTAACTTATTAGGAAGAGCACAATAAGATTGCTGTTTATAAATGCAATTACCAGAGAAGGCACAACTGTGGATACTTGCATTTGATGGAATCAATCAACCATCCAAACAAAGAGCTACTCTAAGCCCCTGTGTTTACGCAGTACTTTCTGTACCAGGGCCAGGTCCTGCTTTGCCTAACTTCCCTCATTAATCCTCACAGCCCTACTGTGAATTAGGTAATTCTTACCGTTGGCTCCGCCTGAAGACCTTGGACTACAAAGCACAAAGAAAGCCGTGGTTGCCTCGGTCGCGTGTGGGGACTGGTGACTGCCTAAGCTGGCCAGTAGGGGCCAGACTGCACCTCTTCCTCTCCCCGAGCACCTCCTCTCCAGTCGTTGGAATCCGCTTTGGATCATTTGCTGCAGTTTGTTCTAATAGAACAGGCACAATGGTGTAAGAATTTTAAAGTTTAAGCACCGAAGCCACGGTGTAATTGTACGGCGTCAGTGGCTGGCGGCCCTGCATTGATGCGATCCCCCTGTGTAATTGCCCATGCAAATTTGAGCAATCTGTAACAGGCACAGGGAACTCGTCTGCATTGGGCTGCAGACTCTTATCCCTCCAGAAAAACTTCAGTAATTCTAAGAACCTTTTGTCATCTTTAAGATGCTCCGTGGACAGGGCTGTCCCACTATCTTCTTACACAAGCAGACATCACAGATGAAGACAAGGTTAATGGGATAAATGGACAGTCAGAATTTAAATCCTAGGTCTTTGGATGCATGCCTGCCTCTTTCAGCCTTTAAATCATCCTTCTCAAGGGAAATAAAGAGTATTTCAGAGGTTTAGTTAAGCTTTAAGCATTTTGTTAAAAACAAAGATATTTAGTTCTCTTAAAGCAGGTTCAAAATCATGGATTAGATGCTTGTGACATGGTCAAGCAGTCTAATAATGTAGTATTCCTATAATGACACATCAGCCTGGGAAATCTACACAAAGGGGGTGATGTCCAATAAGTCAGTTGAAGATATATTTCACTTCTTTTGTGTAAAACAATAATAATTAAGAAGCAAATCAGTAGGGGATCCTTTTTAGATGATTGTACCTCAAAATAAAATGGCAAAAATATTTTTCCCCAAGAGGATGAGATTTGCCAACACCTAAACTCTTGTTTCCATACAATGCTATTTGTGTTTTTAAAAAATTCATCTAAATATGATTTAATCTAAATCCAAAGAAAAATAATCGAGATTCTAATACACATACACAGAAAATGAGCACAAAGATAAATGGTGGCCTGAAATAACACATTTTTTTTTTACAGCAAATACTCCATTCACTTAGTAAAACAAACATATTTTTGTCCCAGTATATATGTTCAACAATATTAGTAGAGATGTGCTACACAGGTGAATAACTAATCTTTAGTGCTATTGAGAGAGGGACTAAATATGTAAACACATTCAAAATTAAATTAGAAAAGATGTACAACATCAAATTACCAGCTGCGGAAAAGGTACACAGCCATGTAAGCAGGACCTCAGGCATTGTTAAGTCCAAGTGCTCAACGTGAAATTCCCCAGACACATCACTTCTGCCATCTATATGTTTTATTCTATTATTGTTCACTTATGAGACTTAGGAAATTTTGGCCTTCTTATAGCCAGACTCAACCTTTAAATTTCCTGATACATGTGAGGTTTGGGAGTTCTTTACAGCGCCTGACAACTGTTTCAGAGACTGTTATTCTGAAGCAGACAATGAAATTTCACTGCAGTGGCCCTGCCATAGTTTTTAGGGTCCCAAACTAGGTTTTACTCTTTTGCTTTAATGAATCCTTTTTGGATATTGTTTTTCCAGCCAAAACATTTTTCTTTATATGTAAATCTTCCCTTAATCTGTTAGATTTCTGTCCCACTTGGCAGGAGTTTTTCACACTATTATTGGAGGTGAAACTGTATTTTATCTTTCTGTAATTCATTGAGTCAGCAGGAGGAATAGATTTTAAAATAATTCTACCACAAAGTAAATTGAGCAGATTCTGTTTAATGACCTAAGGTAAGTGGATCAAATATGATACATTTTGATACATGAAAAAAGCAACTGAATTCCTGTAGCATTAATATTAGATAGTTATTTCACTAACAAAATTTTAACGATTATTTCTAACCCAACCCAATGGGTATTTAAATATAAAATACCTGGAAATATGTGGACATTGCAGATTTCAGAAACAGAAATCACATGCAATTTTAACTTCTTTTGACTCACTTTATAAATTCTAAATTAAACTGACTACCATTTATGGGATATCTATGCTATGAGATAATCTAAAGCTGTCCTTTATGGAATAAAAGGGTATATTTAAAAAAAATTATAGTGATGACCATGTCTTTTATGATCATTTGAGGCAGGCTCAGACATATCTGTGGTAAGGTTGTTTTTGTATCTACTCCATGTATGTAACTTTTTATTTTGTCTTTAGGGAGGAGATGACCTGTTTATCCCTATCTTGTTTGAGAAGAGTGAATAAGACAATTACATGGAATAAATTTTTAAAGTTAAACACAGCTTGGTCCTTTGGTGTAGGAATGAACTGAATAAAAGTCAGGGCTTTTATTTTACAGGTGGAAAATCCGAGACCTGAGGGTCCCAAGATAACAAGCCAGGCCGGGGAGAGCCCCATCCACTGTGCACTGGGGCGGTGCCCTTTGCAGTCTGCCAAGCTGTCCCTCCTGGCCGGGATTGCCAGCTATATTGTAGGTTGTGCATGTATTATCCACTTACTGACTAATAAAATGATAAATAGCCTGCCTGAGAAAAATACACCTCGTGGACAAAGTAGGATGAAGTCATTTCAACCATAAATGCCAAGAGAACCAAACATTTGGTCAGTTGGAGGTTTTATAAGAAGGTTCACATTTAAGTGCCTTCCTCCAATAGGAAATAAATATTAATAATAACAATTGGGAAATTTTCTCTTTTTCTGTTTTGGGAAAGCAGATTATATGGGTAACCACGCATACCTCAAATTCTTCTGAAGTTATACATTACTTAGAAAAGGGATTTAAAATACCCCAAACTCCCAAGTTCAACCTCTAACCTTCTGGGTTGTTGGCTCCAGGGAGCCTGCTACCCTCCTTTTCTACTGTTTCATGGTCATGGAGGAACAGACCTGGGCATTAGTCAGCAGTTTCTGAATTTTGACCCACAATATAAAAGATACCTTGAGACAGGAAAAATAGATGGAGGCAATTACAAACAGCCACTTGATTGATGGTTGACATTGTCAGGGCTCCACTGCATGGCAGATTGCAATGGTGTTGAACTCCCCTTGCTACCAGTGGATGTTGCTATTGGCAACCGTGCAGCGAAGCCAATAAAAAGGCAAGAAAATGAGAGGAAAACTCAACCTTAGTGGAAGCCGGAGGGTTTCTGCTATAAATTACGTTCCCCTCAGCAATATGCAGCATCAACATTCAGGGTAGCCACAGTGCATGTAGCCGTCTGCAGTCTCCATCGGACCCTGGGTCTAGTTTTATCATAAAGCACATGCTTTAAAATTTTGCTCTAGATACACTGGCATCCATCTTTCTGGGCTATTTATTTATTTATCGTTGGGGAGGATGACAGATGTGGGTCCATCTCTGCCTCACATGGACTGATTTTCAATTCCCGCTTGTGATACAAACATGATGTGACACAGCAGCTAGAAACACCTGCAGTGCTTCTAGCTGCAGACACACAACCAGGCTCTGTCCCTGCTTCCACCCACCCTTTCTTCCTCACCTGAAGGAGGGAGACAGCCCAGCAGAAGCTATTTTCCTTTATAGCTGAGTGATTCAGGAAACTGGCTTCATAAAATCCATAAATCTGAACAACCTCCTCTTACCAGCTCTGCAGAGGCAAATTTTCCTGCACTTATTTTCTCCTCGAGTTTCTCCAGTCTTCCCCCTGGAGACAGTGGTAGAGGGTAGCTGGGAACATTATTTTTTAGGGTTCCCACTCCTTCCTTTTCTCTTTTGTCAATCCCCTCCCTACTCAAGTATCTCTCTTTTCTGAGCAATTGATGACAGGACGTACCTTCATTTTTTTTTATAACAAGTCTCGTTTTTTTCCGTGTTTGGATTAATGTTCACCTTCCCTTTGGCCATCTCTTACCACCTGCATTGGGTCCTATATTTTCTTGTTAGCCACTTTCTTTTGGTTCCCCTCCTCCTCTTTTCCTCCATTTGCCTGGTTTATAATTTTCTTTTGCTCCATTTCTGATCATGTAGAATCTTTCTTCTTCCTCATGGTTACCTTGCTGTTCCCTTCTGTTTTGGTTCCTTAATTTACCCATTCTTTAAACATTTCCCCAATGTCTACCATGTGCCAGGAAAACAATGTCCTTGGTGGAACTTGGCCCCTCTTTCTCTGAATAAAGTTAATAACTAACACTGACCAGCAACAACAAGAACAGAAGTGGTTTTAAATTTTAGATTTTTTTGGAACTGGAATGGACTTCAAGGTTTATCTGGTCCAGAGATTTTCAAATTCCTCAGAGGCCCTTTATGGGCCGCTAGGTATGTAATCAAGGAGATGAGGCTTCATAGGGCTCCCCCAACCCAGCTTCAAACAGAGGACTTGGACTTTTAGATGTTTTATGTCTTGGGGAGTCTTTGTAAGATTTATTTGAATGAAGAGTTCTAAGGCTAAGTTATGTTTGAAAATAATTTCTTAGTGTAATCTCATTTGACAAATGAGGAAAAAGGAAGAAGTTAAGTGATTTGTCTAAAGCCATCCAGTGAATAGTGCCAGAGCTAGGGTACAAGTCTAGCTTCTAGCCCAGCATTGTTTTGTTTTGTTTTTTTCTCTCTCTCTTTTTTTTTTTGGTTGCACCTCATGGCATGCAGAATCTTAGTTCTTTGTGGTGGAAGATTCTTAACTACTGGACCCCCAGGAAAGTCCCACAGCGGGGACTTTGGATAGGGCATACCCTGTCCTCAGTCTCTCAGCTTTCTAATCTCTGCATCTGTTTAATATAGCTTATTCTTATCTATGGCCTTCCCAAGTGGTGCGAGTGCAGGAGACATAAGAGACCCGAGTTCGATCCCTGGGTTCGGAAAATCCCTTGGAGGAGGGCATGGCAACCGCTCCACTGTTCTTGCCTGGAGAATCCCATGGACAGAGGAGCCTGGTGGGCTACAGTCCATAGGGTTGCAAAGAGTTGGTCAAGACTGAAGCAACTTAGCATGCACACATTCTTACCTTTTATAAATCTGGATTTCTGTAGGATATTTGTTCACTGCCCAGACTGTTATTTCTTAATCTTTCAAGCATTATATTTTACACTTAAGGAAAAATCCAAAATTGGGGAGCTCTCCATTTGGCTTTCAGTTGGCACTGGCAGTAACCTTAGACTTTATACTGAAACTCATCACTAGGAGAACTCTAATATATATAAAGGTTGTCAATGATCATTCTCCATGGCTCTACTGTGTCCTGTGAAATGTCTCACTGTTGGAAATAGTTCTGAATGTTCTTGTGTCACTCATGGTAAATCCACCTATAGATTTTCTTTCATCCAGAGTTTAACTAAAGTCTACCAATCCATTCCTGCTAGGAGACTTGATCTACATTGAAGGTTGAATCTAAAAACTGAAAAAGGGGACCACAATCCCAGTGCAGTGTTACGAATCATGTGTAAACACCAATCAGACAAACACATCTGCTGTCTTGCTACTATGGACCTTTTTAGGGGAAACTAGGAGTGGCTGGTCTTTGTAAGGATAATATAGGTGTCTCTTTTAGGTAGGCAATTCTGAAGGCTCTGATCTATCATTAAGAAGCTTTAGGATTAAAAATAAGATATCTCCACAGAATACAAATTAGGATTCTAGGGACAGTCTGGCACAAAAGGGAGTTGGGAGAGGAAGCAGAGGCAGGCATTGTTTGGCTTGTAACAAACAGAATAGCCATATACAAAATGAAGCAGCGCTAATGACGCCTTCACTGTTCAGTGTCCCCTTAGCTCCGAGGGAGCAGGGCCAGCCATCCTCAGTCCTGGCCCCACAGCTGCCCTCTGCCCAGAATCTTCTCAGCCCAGAATCTCCGTGCTCATCGGGGAAAGGTGAGGGTCCTGGAGTCTGCCTGCTGTCCCCGCTTCCTCCTCTGTCCTTTGTGCTGATACCACGCTTCAAGGTGAACATCCAGGCATGCTTCTCAGCACATCCCTGAGGTTGTATGTCTGTTTGAGCTTAAAGGAACCAAAGAAAGGTGTGCGGGACGGAAGCCGGCTCTTCGGGGCGCAGTCATTTTGCAGCAGTGGCTGGCCTGGAGGGTTAGTTTCTGTCATCCCTGGTCTCCGTGACCTTGGCAGAGCGGGCGGAGGCAGTCGAGGAGACGGGCAGCCTTTTCTGGTGCAGCTCTTCCCACTTACTTCTGTTGGTGGCCACGGAATCCAACATTGGCTTCAGTTTCACATTGACCTTCACCAGTGCCTACAAGAAAACAAAAGCGGGTGGGGGAGAGATGAACCAATCATGGCCGTGATTTTCTAGCTTTCACTTGTGAGGAGAATGGAAATGGGCTGTAAGCAATGAAAATGATGATTATTTTGGTAAACATGACCTATTTACAAGAAGCAAATATGCACTTAACATCACTGTGTTGTATTAATAGAACTTACAGAGAAAACGAAAAAATAAGACAGATGCCTGTGTACTGCTCCAGGGGGCGCCAGCCAATTTGATTATGATCCTGTTTTAAATTCACATCAAATAGGAAACAAAATATTCAGCTCACACATGTCTACTAATATGTGTATCTTTGCCTACTAAGGAGGGCTCTGGACCTCAATAGACCAGGAACTGAAATTTTTACAAAAATAAACCTACCATTTGCTCTACCATAGATGATTCTGGGTGGATTCACCTGAATGAGAAAGGCCAGGTAAAGTCCTGAAATGAGAGGAGCTCATTTTTTAAAGCGTAGGATCGGGGAACTGTGCTCAATGTACAGATCACCATGAGAACATGCATGGAAATAGACACGAGAGAAAAGAAAAAGGGGTGTGGAAGAGAGGGACAGATGGAGGGATGGGGAAGAAATGAGGGAGAGAAAATGTAGGGTGTGGCCAGAGGCTGACCGACCCCCAAGGCTAAGAAAGGTCAGGATCCAGCCTGCTCACTTGCAGGAGACCCTTCTATATATCTGTTTTGCACTTAATTTTGTATCATTTAAAAAAAAAAAATGGTCCCCTATTCCCAAACAGTACAAACTTCGAGCCTCACAAATCTTGGATCACCGCTCTACTGGGACAAAGCAATGAATAAAACAAGGATCATGGAGCTGTGAGGGCTTAGCCTCGGGAAATGCCTTGGTCAGCGTTCTGTGGCCACAGATTATAGCCCTAGTCCCATGGAGACTCCCTGCAGGTGCGTCCCATTCATCACAAGGGAGACAAAATGTGACCATGTGACTAAACCACCGCCATTGTAGGACGCCTCCTGGAAAGCCTTCAAGCCTGACCGGTGGTTGGCAGGTGCTCCAGGGCGAAGTCCGCCAACAGGAAGAAGAGTTGTTTCTGCTGAGGACGGAATACCCTGATCATGACTGCAGTGTGTTAGGAAGGCCTGAAGCATTGCCTAAATAACTCCGCTCTGGGGAGTTTCAGAGATACAAGTGTGATGCAACTAGATGTAGGTTAAGTGGGGGCTGGAAGTCCAGAAATAATCGGGGAGCCTGCTGACCAGTGAGCACTCCACCCTGGCCTAGGTGATGCCCCTTCACATTCACATCCCCTAAACAGAGCATATTATCGTGATATTTATCACACCAAGCAACGACGTCTAATTTGAAATTGGATGTATTCGTTATTCCATATGATAATAAATCACAGCAGCATAATAATTCAGGCAGCAATCAAAATCCCCTTTACATCACGAGAAAAATGCAGGTGCCTGTTTTCACTCAGTGCAGAGTTTTTATTTAGAAAATAGTGTGAGAGGGGGCGACGCATGCCATGGTTTTTAGTATAGTTTGGCACTGCCTCCTCTTTGCTCTGATCAAGCCTTTTAATTAAACCGACCACTATAATTCCTATGGAAATTAGTGTTTATGTTATTTTCCTGCTACAAAAGCATTTCTCTAAACTTTTTTTTTTAATCCCAGGAGCACAAATTGGAATTTTTTTCTGCATGAAATGTAATTAAAAACTCATTTGATTACTATAGTTCTGGCTCTGTTTTACTTATTAAATTCCTGTAATCAGTTTTCTTTTATGAAGCTGCTGGGAAATGATCTCAAAAGCAACACATTTTTCTCTTCCTTGGCAGGTTCCCGAGCATTTACTAAATTACATTCATAGCACCTGCCCATGATTCGAATTACTCCACCAATTTATTTCTAAAACTATTTAAATTTATTTGGCTTGGCCCCAAACAGATTGCTTTCTTTTATCTAGCTCTTTGTTCTCTGTCTTGCTTCCTTTGTGTTGAATATAAAATTTTTTGAGGGGGTGGTACATATTTCTCAGTATTCCTTTTTCTCTTTATTTCATACTCTCCTTAAATACAGAATTGCCATACTGGAATATCATTTTCTTCTAGTTGGGTGCTGGCTCTCGGCAAAGGGAGCAGGAACTTCATCTTAAAGAATAATTCTTGCACTATAAATTTGTTACACATAAATCCAGTTAGCTTGGAGAATATGGAACTATTAGAATATTAGGAAGGCAAGGCATGATCCACAAATTTAAATTCCGAGGTTTATGGTGATTACGTGCAATGTACCATCAGCAAGAGAATTGCTCCCAGTATCTAGAAAGATACAGGTATTCCTACAAACTTCTCATCAGTGAGTGATACCCGATAAATTCTGTGCAAATGCTACTGGGATCTGTCTTGTTTGACTAACTCTTCTCTTAGAGGAGGAGAAGGGGACAACAGAGGATGAGATGGTTGGATGGCATCACCGACTCAATGGACATGGGTTTGGGTGGACTCCGGGAGTTGGTGATGGACGGGGAGGCCTGGTGTGCTGCGGTTCATAGGGTCGCAAAGAGTCGGACACGACTGAGCGGCTGAACTGAACTGAGCTGAGCAGTAAACCAGTGACTCCTGTGCACCTCCAAGTGTAGGCTAGGGATTTACTGACCCCAAAACCCAACTTGGGCTACAGATGGATATCCTGGGGGCTCCCAAGCCCATTTCAGCTCCCCAACCTTGTCGGTGGCCCGTCACTGATATGACCCTGTATACCCTGGGGACACAGCCCAAGGCATCTGTCCAGCCAGGTGGCTGAGGGGTCTCACATCCTTCCTGATTCAAGTCAGGCTCCACTTGTGAGCTCACTTGTGACCAGTGCATACGTTTTATTCCATATTTATGAATAAGTCATACATTCACTAGACATGTAGTCTACTGAATACAAAGGGTCCAATATGTACAGGGTTAAACATCTCCCTTCACCCCCTGCCCCAGAGATTTAATTTCTGTTGCTAGAGGCAACTGATGTTACCAGTTTCTTGGGTATCCTTCAAGAAACATTTTAGGCCTATGTCAGTATAAGTATGTATATTATGTACATATATGAAAAAAGGTGAAAGTGTTAGTTGCTTAGTCACGTCTAACTCTTTGTGACCCCATGGACTGTAGTCCGCCAGGCTCCTCTGTCCATGGAATTCTCCAGGCAAGAATACTGGAATTGGGTAGCCATTCTGTTCTTCAGGGGATGTGTGCTGGATTTTTCTTTTTCCATTACTTTAAACCTCCCTCAGTTTTATTGGGGAAAGCATTAGGTTACTTTGAAATAACATGATCCTTTGAGGCTTGTCTTTAAGCTTCCCTTGGTGGTTCCGGAGCAAACTTTAGGGCTAATTTGGCCCCACTATTAAGACAGTAATCTTCTGAGAACTATGCCCAGAACGTCATATATTTCAAGGTTTTTCTCTAAAATTCTGGGTGGTGGAAGCAGGGACTACTTCCCTGCCCGTGTGAACTCTGAGGATTCCTCTGCTTGCTGCTTTTTGCTAGTTCTTTCCAGCCTCAGTAGTTTCCTCACGTGCAGGGAGCGAATGGCACTGAAGACT